TTGTTTCTCCTCTATGCCCCGCCTTTCTGAAACGCGTCGATTTTTACAAAGCTCATCGTTCTGAAAAGCGTGGTGCGCTCTGATTGGCCAGCTATCCAGGGCGTTGTGATTGATCGAATACCTCAAGCGTGTAACGGAAATGTTACGCCCCTTACCATACTGTGCTGCCGTGTCCCGGCCGGAGCGACGAGACAAAAACAATAAAACCCATTACAAACGAGGCATTTGTTGCATCCAGTGGAGACATAATTACTGATTATAATGACTTATACTGTCTTTTTACACGTTGCATTGCATATCGCGCCGCGTAAACATAAAACCATTTGTCTGCATTTGTGATCGGAGAAACGACAAACAACAAGCGCTACTCTACACTGCTCAAAACTCGCGTTTGAATCATCAGTGGCAAATTCTTTAAATATGAAAACATACTTACAGACTGTGAGTCAGAACGGACGGCATTGTAGGCTACTCTCCCAGGTTCAAGAAACAGTCAAAGAGAAAGGAAAACTTGAAATCGCATCATATGACCCCTTTAACACAATTAATCATGCATAAGCAGTGGCATTGATTGAACATATTTTCTCACACTATAAACTGCTGTGCATTATTAGATCTGGGCCCGTATTCTTAAAGATTCTAAGAATCCTCTCAGAGAGCTCCTAATTTAGCTTAAAATTTTCTAACTAGGAGTCTTAGCTTAAAAGTGATTCAGGGCCAATCTGAGAGCAACTCTGAGCGAGGAAAAGACAAAAACTTTTATCTTAGTGAGGAGGCAGGGTTGACCCCGTTGCTAGCTATGACACAGTCTTTTGAAGACTGTGAATGGTTGGTTGTTCAAGAAGGAAATAAAAGAGCACTTTTAAGAGTAGGGTCTATTATAAGCCTTCACTTTGAAATTACAGGTGTAATTTTTCCTATTTTACCATACATCTCTCTCTCACACACACACACACACACACACATTATATATGTATGTATATTCTTTATTTTTTATTTACCATGCTGTCATATTTAACGTATTTTATAGGAAATGAACGGCGACACAATTAGGTTCTGAAAGTGCTGCAATTGTTTGTGTGATCACTTTGCTTATAGAAGGTTGTGACAGACCCAAATCATCACTGCTGCATAGTTGTATTTTCCAGTTGTCAAATATGTTAATGTAGTTAATGTAGTGATTTACATTCATTTCTGGCGCTATGGCTTTTCTGCGTGGTGTCGGAGATGTTAGTGTGTCTCTAATAAGATCGGTCACAAACATGATCCCTGCACCATCTAATGTGTAGCGTCTTGTTAACTCACTGTCATGCATTGTGTGCAACACATTTCTTCTCCCTCTTTATGTTTCGTCCATTTTCTCCACTGCTAAAGAAACTCTCAAGCCTCTTAAAAGTCCCTGTCCGTACTCCTAACAATTTTGGATCTTAAGACCTCTTTTAAGGGTTAAGATGCGTTCTAAATTACTTTTTTCTTTACTAGAATCTTTTCTTTAATTTTAAGAGGAAACACCCACATTTCTAAGAATTTTCTTAGAATTTTGTTACTAGGAGCAACTTTTAGCACTAAGATTTTGCATGAATACGGGCCTTGTTCTGCTGTTTGTTTTGTTCAGGTTGGATACAGAGAAGACGCTGTCCCTCACACACTCAGGAGAGCTTGAGGTTCTTCTGTCTCGTTTGTGAAGAGCTCACCTGTAAGGACTGTCAACTGATCTCTCATAGGGGGCACAGGTATAGTCCATATTTACCCAATCATAGCAATACATGAGAAGATTAAAACTATATAGGCTTTTTTTGCGTTTTGGGTAATTATTTCCCATCTATTTGCTTTGTGATATTGGGAGGAGTCAGAGCAAAAGTATGCGTCAGTTTCTTTGACACATGTTTTGATATTCCTCCCCAACAATACCTTATCACAGTCTCTATAGCCATGTTTTTCCATGTCCATCTCTGTGTCAGTTTTGTGAAGCAGGAGGAAGCTGTGGGATCTCAAAGGCAGCGGCTGCAGAGTTTGTTGGACTCCATCAGACATCAGAAAGAGCCGGTCAGCAGCAGCTTGCTGCACCTAGAGGCAAGGTAACTGAATGAAGCCGTGTGGACTACAGTATGCAAGTTGAAGGAACAGTCTGTCAATAAAAAAAAAAAAAACTGGATATACTCTTAAAAGTCGTTCTCAAAGCTCACATTGTTTCACCCATATTTCTTAAAGGGATAATAAGAATGTTACCGTCATCAAACAGAATGACTTTCTTCTGTTGAACATTAAAGTGGTGAATTATCCCTTTAAGGAAAATGGGTGTTTTTATATATATATATATATATATATATATATATATATATATTTGCCTCGAATGCAGTCTGGACGCATCAATGTTATTTGGCAAAATTCAGAGGCAGTCTGCAGATTTTGGCCAGTAATTATTGCATAGTGTATGAGCGGCACAGACTTTAAACTATGATTCCATCCAGACAGAGCATATCAAACATATTTTGAGCATGGCTCGTAACAAAAAAAGCATCTTCTATTACAAAT